AAGGAGGGCTCCAGAGCAAACTGATTTATGCAGTAGCCAAATGGCTCCCTCACAACTTTAATGCCAGTCACTCACAAAGCAGAATTTTTGCTCACAAGACTCCACAGCTTAGAGGGAGCATTGCGTGCTGCCACATATTTTGTTAGCCTTTAAGGTGCTCCTGGACTCTTGCTCTTTTCTGCTGCTACAGGCAGACTAACACAGCTACTCCTCTTGAGCCACCTTAAAAAATCTGGACGGCCAATCAAATCTCCACTAGCCATTCAGAAGCCTTGTTGGGCAAAAGCCCTCCCTGCCCCACCCATTTAACAAAAACACTTGGCTGGGGCCAGAAATTGTGTTGGTGGGGACCATGTGGGAGAGCCTGGAGCAAGCGTATCTGGAACATGATTGCATAACAAATCATGCTGTGGTTTTTACAGATGGCTCCCAGGATCATGTGGGAGCAGCATTCATCCACAGCCACCCAATGATGGCCAAAAATCCCCAGTGGAATAATCTGTGTTTACTATGGAACATTTTTTGAGATCTCCGTGGGTTTTCGCTTATGTTCCTTGTGTCGAGCGCATCGGCAAACTACCTCGACTGCTTCGCTTCATTCTGCTTCTATCTGAACCTATTAATTCCTGCAGTCTTCTCTTAGGCGGAGGCCTCCTGCCCTGGACTGTTGTGTTGCTTTTTGGTTGGGTTCCTGGGAAATTTGGAATTAAAGGCAACCAACTGGCTGCCAGCGTATTCTGAAGGTGTGGACAGGAGACCTCCTTGGACTGCAAGGAGATCAAATCAGTCAATCTTAAAAGAAATCAACCCTGACTGTTCCCTGGAAGGCCAGATCCTGAAGCTCAAACACTTTGGCCACCCAATGAGAAGGGAGCACTCACTGGAGGAGAAGACCCCGAGGCTGGGAAAGATGGAAGGTCAAAGAAGAAGGGGACGGCAAAGGAGGAGATGGTTAGACAGTGTTATTGATGCAACAAACATGAAATTGAGCAGACTCCATAGGATGATGGAAGACGGGAGGGCCTGGCGTGATGTGGTCCATGGGGTCGCGGAGAGTCAGACTTGACTGTGTGACTGAACAACAACAACAGGAGACCTGTTAGGAACCCCATGTATACCACCTTGAGCTAGGGTTGCCAGTTCCTGGTTGGGAAATACCTGGAGATTTAGGGAGCGGAGCCTTGAAAGGATGGGATTTGGGGAGTCGAGGGAGATTAGCGAGCATGCAGTGCTGCAGAGTTCGCCCTCCAAAGCAGCCATTTTTTCCAGGAGAACCAATTTCTGTAATCTGGAGAACTGCTGTAATTCTAGCTGATCTCCAGGCCGCATCTGGAAGTTGGTAACCCTGCCTTGAACTGCATGATGGAAGAAAGGCAGGATTCAAAACATGGTGAACTAACTTGCATGTGACACACAAGAGCCCCATTTAGTAATGCTAGTCTAGGATCTGGGAAGACCCAGGTTCGAATTCCCACTCTGCCTCGCAAGCTTGCTGGATATCCTCAGGCCAGCCAGGCCAGGACATTAGAAGCCCTCCCACTGTTGACCCCCCCCCCAAGCACCAAGAAGACAGAGCATCACTTGCCCCAGAGCCCCTAGCTATACCTTGTGGCTAATAGCCACTGATGGACCTCTGCTCCATATGCTTATCTAATTCCCTTTTGAAGCCGTCCATGCTTGTAGCACCCACCACTTCCTGTGGCAGTGAATTCCATGTGTTAATCACTCTTTGGGTGAAGAAGTACTTCCTTTTATCCGTTCTAACCCGACCGCTCTGCAGTTTCATGGAGTGCCCACGAGTTCTTGTATTGTGAGAAAGGGAGAAAAGTACCTCTTTCTTTACCTGCTCTTTCCCATGCATAATCTTATAAACCTCGATCATGTCACCCCTCAGTCGTCTTTTCTCCAAGCTAAAGAGCCCTAAGCGCTTTAACCTTTCCTCATAGGGAAAGTGTTCCAACCCTTTTATCATTCGAGTTGCCCTTTTCTGCACTTTTTCCAAAGCTATAATATCCTTTTTAAGGTGTGGTGCCCAGAACTGCACACAGTATTCCAAATGAGGTCTCACCATTGATTTATATAGGGGCATTATTATATTGGCTGATCTGTTTTCAATACCCTTCCTAATAATCCCCAGCATAGCATTGGCCTTCTTTATTGCAGTCACACACTGTCTCGACATTTTCAGTGAGTTATCCACTACAACTCCAAGATCTCTCTCTTGCTCAGTCTCTGCCAGTTCAGACCCCATCAATGTGTATTTATATTTAGGATTTTTGGCTCCAATGTGCATCACCTTGCACTTGGCCACATTGAACCCCATTTGCCATGTTGACGCCCACTCGCCCATCCTTGACAGATCCCCTTGGAGTGCCTCACAATCCTCACTGGTTTTCACCACCCTGAACAACTTTGTATCATCCGCAAATTTAGCCACTTCACTGCTTACTCCCATCTCCAAATCATTAATGAACAAGTTAAAAAGCAGTGGACCAAGTACTGATCCCTGCGGTACCCCACTGCTTACCACCCTCCACTGAGAAAATTGCCCACCTACACTCACTCTCTGTTTTCTATGAACTAGCCAGTTTTTGATCCATAAAAGGACTTGTCCTTCTATCCCATGATTTTTGAGCTTACTTAGGAGCCTTTGATGAGGAACTTTATCAAAAGCTTTCTGGAAGTCAAGGTAAATAATATCTATTGGATCCCCCTTGTCCACATGTTTGTTCACCCCCTCAAAGAACACTAACAGGTTAGTGAGACAAGATCTTCCCTTACAGAAACCGTGCTGAGTCTGCCTCAATAGGTTTTGTTCATCTATGTGCCTACTAATTCTTTCCTTAATAATGGTTTCCACCAATTTACCCGGTATCGACGTCAGACTGACTGGCCTGTAATTTCCCGGATCTCCTCTGGAACCCTTTTTAAAGATGGGAGTGACATTAGCTACCTTCCAATCCTCAGGAATGGAGGCAGATTTTAAGGAAAGATTACATATCTTTGTCAGGAGATCTACAAGTTCACATTTGAGTTCTTTCAGAACTCTCGGATGTATGCCATCTGGGCCTGGTGATTTTTCAGTTTTTAAGTTGTCTATCAGTTTTAGGACCTCCTCTCTCGTCACCTCAATCTGACTCAGGTCTTTCAACACCCCTCCTGAAATCAGTGGTTCTGGAGTGGGCAAGCACTTCTCATCTTCCACAGTGAAGACGGAGGCAAAAAATGCATTTAGCTTCTCAGCCATTTCCCTATCATCCTTCAATACTCCTTTTACCCCTTGGTCGTCCAAGGGCCCCACTGCCTCCCTGGCTGGTTTCCTGTTTCTAATGTATTTGAAGAAAGTTTTATTGTTGGTTTTTAGGTTTTTTGCTATATGCTCCTCATATTCCCTTTTTGCCTGCCTGACAACAGACTTGCATTTTATTTGCCATAGCCTGTGTTCTGTTTTATCAGCCTCACTGTGACTAGCTTTCCACTGTTTAAAGGAATCCTTTTTACCTTTTACAGCTTCCATTACTTTGTTTGTTAACCATGCAGGCTTTTTCCTATACCTGTTTGTGCCTTTCCTAACCTGCGGAATTTTTTTTTTTTAGCTTCTAGGATCGTAGTTTTAAATAGTTTCCAAGCTTCCCCAATGGCTTTGACCCTTTTTACTTTTCCTTTCAGTTTCCTCCCCATATGCCTCCTCATATCAGAGAAGTTTCCCCTTTTAAAGTTAAAAGTGGTTGTGTGAGCCTTTTTGGCCAATTCCCTATTTATACAAATGTTGAACTCAACAACATTATGATCACTGTTCCCAAGCGGTGCAATTACTTTTACATCTCTTACCAGGTCTTGAGTGTTACTTAGGACCAAATCAAGGATCGCCTCTCCCCTGGTAGGTTCTGTGACCATCTGCTCCATGGCACAGTCATTTAGAGTGTCTAGAAACTCAATCTCTTTTTCTCGACTAGAACACACATTATGACACAGTGGTTTTGTCTAGCTGCTATCTTTAATTCATTCATCATTTTATAATCTGGTGGGCGATAACAAACTCCCAGTGTTAAGTTTCCTTTTGGACCCCCTATTTCAACCCATAGAATTTCCAGAAGCGAATCCAATTCTCTTAGCCTCTCAATCTTTCTGGACTTTATATGTCGTAAGCTACTTTGGATCCTCATTGGTGGGAAGAGTAGGGTATAAATAAAATTAATCAAAGATGATCAAGGGCTGTGGCATTTTAAGCATCTGGTGTACTTAACTGCGATGATTTTATTGTGTTTTACAGTTTTTTATTATTGTGGGTTGCCACGAGAACCTGAACCAGCTGCTGTAACAGCTTACGCAATTTTAAATATAACCAGAAAGCCAGGGTTCGTTTTGACTCCCTGTCGAGTGGGGAAGACCCAGCTTCCTGCTGCATAATGTGTGAAATAAGGAAAAGGTAAACGTTTCCCTTGCTTGAAAGCCAGTCAAATCCGACTCTAGGGGGCGGTGTTCATCTCCGTTTCCAAGCCGAAGAGCCAGCGCTGTCCGAAGACGTCCCCGTGGTCATGTGGCCGGCATGACTATACGCCAAGGCGCACGGAACGCTGTTACCTTCCCACCGAAGCGGTACCTCTTTATCTACTTGCAATTTCTTGCTTTCGAACTGCTAGGCTGGCAGGAGCTGGGACCAGAGATGGGAGGTCACTCCATCATGCGGCACTCGGGTCTCGAACTGCCAAACTACCGACCTTCCGGCCTGCAGTTCAGCATGTTAACGACTTGGCCACCGCAGCCCCATAATGTCTGAAATAGAAACGTACAAATCAGACAGTTTTACTTCAGTGTTATGAGCCTTGCTGGATTCCAGGGAGGCTGGGTATCAGGATCTGTGTTTTACATTTTAACTGAGCCTGTGGTGGTTTGGATCGGAGTCTTCTGGATGGCGCAGGCTGCATTAGAACAAAAATACTATTTTAAAAAGCTCTTTGGGCTGATCCAGACTGTCCTTTCGTATTCCCTGCAGCTTGAAAGGGACATGTGACTCACCCGCGGCAGAATCCCTCACTCCGGCCCGGGCACCGCAGGAGTACAGACGCGTTGGGTTCTTGCCGGTTCCGGACACTGGCAAGGGAACATGAGACTAGCAGGTGAGGTCTAGCTGGGAGAACATGTGATGTCTTCCCTGGGGAATATCCCCAGGTCAGGTGGAAAGGTGCATTCAAGAGTTTTGCAGTTCCCAGGCACGAGTGGGCCTGTTTCAGAATGAGACAACAGCACACAGAGGGAGGGGGCTGAAACCTTCTCCCCTTCATACACAATAATTTCCTGACCTGAAGCCCCAGGTAGGGGCTGTTTGCCCTGCTGTGGAAAGGTAGTGTGTAGCTCATCAGGATACGTCAGTAGCAGTGGGGCAAAGAGACCCCTCCCTGGACACACACACACACAGCCGGTTTGGCGTAGTGGTTAGGAGCGCGGACGCTGATCTGGGAGAACCGGGTTTATTTATTTATTATTTTTGTGTTTATACCCCGCCCTCCCCGCGGACGGGCTCAGGGCGGCTTACGAGGGGGCAAAATAGGCCCATACATAAAAACAGGGTAAAAACAGTAAAAACCAACAAATATTACAAATAAAGTGCTCAGATTTAAAAACAAGATGGTCATCCGTTAGAGGTAGGTGGTCTTTCATGGAGGTAGGTAGTGTCCAGTAGATGTTAAACTGTCCAGTCCAGCGGTACCAGCCCAGCGCTGTATTGTGGCCAGATCTTCCGTAGGGCCGTCTCCTTGCTCCGTTTGTTGTCAACACCGTTGGTAGTGGTAGTGGTGGCTCCTACATAAAAGCCTGGCAGAAGAGCTCCGTCTCGCAGGCCCTGCGGTGCTGTACTAGGTCCCGCAGGGCCCTGATCTCCTCCGGGAGCTCATTCCACCAGGTAGGAGCCGCCACTGAGAAGGACCTGGCCCTCTTCACAGCAAGCCTTGCCTCCCTGGGGCCTGGAATACCGAAGTGCTCTTGTGTCCCAGACCGAAGTGCTCTTAGGGGTCTTAGGGATTCCCCACTCTTCCACATGCAGCTCCTGGTGTGACCTTGGGCCAGTCACAAGTTCTCTCAGAGCTGTTGTCTCAAGAGCAGTCCTTGAAAGAGCTCTCTCAGCCCCACCTACTTCACGGGCAGTGTTCCCTCTAAGCTGAGATAGTATGAGGTAGCTCATAGTTTTTTAGCCTCCAGCTCACACATTTTTGTCATAGCTCAGGAAGGATGGCTCCAGAGCAAACTCATTTGTGCCGTAGCCAAATCACTCGCTCACAACTTTAATGCCAGTAGCTCACAAGGTAGAATTTTTGCTCACAAGATTCCACAGCTTAGAGCAGTGATGGCGAACCTTTTAGAGACCGAGTGCCCAAACTGCGACCCAAACCCCACTTATTTATCACAAAGTGCCAACACGGCAATTTAACCTGAATACTGAGGTTTTACTTCAGAAAAAACAACCCATACATTAATTTAAGATGATCTAAACAAAGTAAGGAAAGCAATCCCAAATGCTTTCATTTACTTAAAATTATTTGGCAGAGAATTTGACACTTTAACGATGGTCTGGGCCTGGCTGGGGTGATGGCACGCGTGCCTACAGAGAGGGCTCTGAGTGCCACCTCTGGCACCCATGCCATAGGTTCGCCACCACTGGCTTAGAGGGAACATTGCTCACGGGCAGTGTTCCCTCTAAACTGAGTTGGTGTGAGCTAGCTCACAGTTTTTTTGCCTGTAGCTCACACATTTTTGTCTCAGCTTAGGGAGGAGGGCTCCAGAGCAAACTAATTGATGCAGTAGCCAAATTGCTCACTCACAACTTTAATGCCAGGAGCTCACAGAGTAGAATTTTTGCTCACAAGACTCCACAGCTTAGAGGGAGCATTGCTCACGGGGTGTCTGTTGTGGGGAGGGGAAGGGAAAGGAGTTTGTAAGCCGCTCTGAGACGCTTTCGCGTAGTGAAGGGCGGGGTATAAATCCAATCTCCTCCTCCTCCTCTTCTTCTGAAAATGGTGGGTGAGGGGAGGCAGAAGCCCCTCCCCCCCACTCCGTTCCCAATCCATTCCCAGGCCCTTGAGATTTCCGACAGCTGCCGTCTGACTGAGGGCGGTGAGAGAAAACGGCAATGCGGCTTGTTTAGTAAACGTAATAACTTTTTTGGCTCTCAGGAAGCCCTTTGTCTCCAGGGCCATGGGGGGGGGGGACGGTAACGGGCAGAACCGGAGGACGGCCGCACTCGGGTTCCGCTCTCGAGGACTTTGTGGGTCTTGCCGCTCATACGATCTTCTCCTCCTCGACTGCCTCAGGACCGCTTCGCGTCGTGGTTATCATCCTGACAGCCGGCCTGACCTGGATCCTCGTGAGCGTCCTGTTGGGTACCCAGAGCGGCTTCTCTCGCCTGCAGCAGCTCCTCAACAGTAAGAACCGGGGCGGCAAAACGACGGAGGCGGGAAAGGCAAAGGCTGGGGCTCTAGGAAGGGGCTGGCCTTGCAGTTATCGGGGCCTTTCTGATCCATGCAGGGGTCCCCGGACCCTTTTTGAGCCCGCGGGCACCTTTGGAGTTCTGACCAAGGGTGGTGGATGCAACCACAAGATGGCTGCTGCGGGAGGCGGGGCCTCGTTCACGCCGAGAAAGCCTAAGTGCAGGGGAGAAGAGGGGTGGATTTGGAGGGGAAAACACCGGGAAACGGGAGCGAGAGAGAATAAAACCAGCACTGTGGAAGCGGCTGCCTCTGCAACAATCTTATTTTAATCTGCACAGCCGATTGGCTCTCCAGCAGCCTATCAGAAGCCCTGCTGGGCAAGAGCACCAGCTAGCCCTGCCCACTTTCAAGAAACGCTTGGCAGACACTGGACTGGGTGTTGGCGATCGCCTCGGTGCCCACGGCTGCCACCTTGGAGACTCTGGATTCACGCATCTCTGTACTTCTGCGCTTCCGTCTGTTTTTCAAGGCGCAGGAACGAACGCAGGGGTGGCTGCAGTTGCGAGATCTAGAGACCTTGGTGTGGAAACGGCAGGAGGGTTTAGATTCCTTTAAAAGACAGTGCACCTGTCCTCCGTGAATCTGGCTGTAAGCCATGATCGTTGAAGGGAGCCTCTAACCCCAGACGGAGCATACTTATGAATACCAGATGTCAGGGCGAGGTCACATGAGGGAGGGAGGCTGGATCCCTCCCGGGCCTGCTTGTGAACGTGCATCTGGCTAGCAGCTGTGGAAACGGGAGGCTCGATCTGTACAGATGTTGGGGGCAATCCAGCAAAGCATTCCTTAAGTTCTCTCCAGGTGCTATATGCTGGGTTAGGGAGGAAGCTCTGAGTTGCTTTGCTCGCATTGTGGGGGCTTCGCTTTAACTGGGGGGTTTGCCATCTGGACGAGGAAAGAGAGACCCTCACTGAGCTCAGCTGAGCGGCAAATGTGTCTGAGGGCCCTCTGGTTCTCTCTGTTTTCATCTGTCGGACGAGCCACCAGAGAGAGGCTGAAGACTCTGGCCACGTCCGCACTGTCGTTTTTGTTACTCATCTGTCCCTATTGCTTTGGGTCCCGTCCCCCCCATTTTCGACATGTGTTTTGCTCCCTCTGGGACTACTATAGAGAGCAATGGGGGGGGCGGGAAACCCTGAAGCAATAAGGTCAGGCGAGTGACAAAAATGACAGTGGGGAAGTGGCCTCCATCGCAGCCAGTCCTTTGTAATTTATGGCGACGTTTTCACTTCGTCATAGCCACCAGCACCTGTAAAGGTAAAGGTTCCCTTGCTCGAAAGCCAGTCGAATCCGACTCTAGGGTTGCGTTGCTCATCTCTGTTTCCAAGCCGAAGAGCCAGCGCTGTCCGAAGATGTTTCCGTGGTCATGTGGCCGGCCTGACTAAACACCAAGGCGCACGGAACGCTGTTCCCTTCCCACCGAAGTGGTACCTCTTTATCTACTTGCAATTTCTTGCTTTCGAACTGCTAGGTTGGCAGGAGCTGGAACTAGAGGCGGGGGCTCACTCCGTCGTGCGGCACACTCGGGTCTCGAACTGCTGAACTACCGACCTTCCACAGCCTGCAGTTCAGCGCCTTAACCACTTGAGCCACCAGCACCTATAAGTCATAGGTATTCTTAGGGCACAATCATACGCACAATTAGACCCGCCATAGGCACGAATGCCGGGCGGATTTAAAGGGCGTGATCAGACAACAACATCTGGGGAGCGCCCCGCAGCCGTCGGCAACCCGTTTTGCTCCGCCGCAGAAGCGGACTTAAAAGACACCGGGGGAAATCCGGTAGTAAACAGATTGTGACGGGCCATGGGCAGACTTTCCTGTGTCTGATCGCTCCAGCGTGCTCTCAGGGCATCGGGATGGTCTGATCAGGCCATACCGACTCCATGCCGTTGTCCCCCCCCCCCCCCCCGCGCTCGCGTCGCACCTCGGTGCAGAGATGCAATTCATCGATTCCTCGTTTAAGCACACTGGAAACAATCGGCAAAAAAAAAAACCCCGACTCACCTGCGGTTGCGTCTGATCACGCAGTGGCGTCTGTGCCCGCAGCTTCCAAGGACTCTGTGATCGCGCAACTGCGGGTCAAATTCCTCCGGAGGAAATAGCCTTGCTTCCCCCCCCCCTTTTTTCTGGCGTGTGTGACCGCGACCTTAGAAAAATATACTTAAGCAGAGATAAAAACAACAGAGCACTGAGTAAGGGTCCATGTGTATGTTTGAAAAATAGCTTTACTAGAACTAACATGGGAAAAAGGTAAACAGGATGCAAAACAACAAATACTAGATCTTATATGTTTACTGCTGGAAGATTACTAGAAGAATGGCGCCTCTTTCTCACCAAGAAACAAAGGGAGGTAGATACCCCAAGATCCTAATAGCCAATACGTTGATTTCCAGTCACAAAGCTAAAGTCATTTAACTAAGACCTCCTACAAGATTTGTGGGCTTTTTCTCACTTAGTGACGGATTGGATACAGGAAACACATGTGACTTCCTGTTGACCAAACAAACAAAGTTAACTCTATCATTGCTGAAGTGTTTTAACTTGCTAAGCAATGCTCCCTCTAAGCTGTGGAGTCTTGCGAGCAGAAAAATCTACTTTGTGAGCTATTGGCATGTGAGCGATTTGGCTGCTGCATAAATCAGTTTGCTCTGGAACCCTCTTTCCTGAGCTAAGACAACACGTGAGCCGGAGGCTAAAGAACTGTGATCCAGCTCACACTCGCTCAGAACACTGTTGATAAGCCCAACAGTAAGTTTCCCCAGGATGGCAGATATTGGCTCCCTAAGGCTGTGTCGAGTCAGGAAAATGGCCCTGTATTTGTGTGTGTGATGCCACCTCTACTTGTACATCCAATAGAGCAGTGAGACGCACAGTATATAGATTAAACAAAAAAAAAATCAGTTGTGTGTGGCGTCGATACCAATTTCGAAAACCAATAAATGGTTAAAGAAAAATCCGCTTATAGACAAATTAAGCCACGTATTCAGTTTCGAAACCCTAGGCAAAATTATTCATACGATATACAATTCATGATCAGGGCATAGATGATTAAACCGAAGTCCTATATGTGGCTCACAAAGTCCAAAATACTCCAAGTTGTTCAGTCCCTCCTGATGGACAATATGCTTCACAGTATAAAGGAGGAAAATGAGCATCCGGAAGATATCTACTCCAACAGTTCCAAAAAGGAACGCAGGAATGGTTCCAAAAGAACTACAGCAGGGGTGTCAAGCTCATTTGCTATGAGGGCCGGATCTGACATAAATGAGACTTTGTTGGGCCCCTGGGCCACGTGTGTCATCAAATGTAATGCCAGGTAGCGGAGACATAAACTTTATAAAGGACACAAACACAAAGGTGTTTTTTTTAACTTAAAATAAAAACATCCTTAAAACATTAGCTCTGTAAGTTGCACACCTGCTTTTGATTTATTGACATTCACCACAGAAATCTCATGCTCAGAGTTCTGAGTCTAGGACCCAGGTTAAAACATGAAATGGCTGAGCGATTAAGAGAGTCTGGTGAAGCAAGCTATGGTGCAGCAGCAGCAGCAGAACAGGAAGGAGGAGATGGCCGGTTCCACTGTGGGCCTGATGGAAGCCTTCTGGGTGCCTGATCTGGCCCCCGGTCTGCATGTTTGACAACCCTGAGCTACAGGATTGCTAGCTTTCTCAACATGCTCCACGTTTCACCAATATGGCTTTGTCAAGTTGGAACCAGCACCTTGAAAGGTATCCCTGAAAATCAGTCTCAGCGCATTCAGTTCACAATATCGTTTTCAAAGCGGGCTTATGCCTTCACAATGAGAATCCTGAACGCTGCGAAGGCATAGCCCATTTTGAAATTGATATCGTTGCACAGCTAATTTCTTTTTATTAGTTGTAGACTTTCTGGGCTGTATGGCCGTGGTCTTGGCATTGTAGGGCCTGGTGTTTCGCCAGCAGCTGTGACTGGCATCCTCAGAGGTATACCTCTACTTGTGCCCCACAGTCCTGATTCACACCCGCCTAGAGATGTAAAATTGGGAAAAATGCTGCATTAACACTTCTTTTTTCTTTTCCGGATTGAAAGTCATTCTGTTTAGGAACATAAAATATGACTACGGACATTTTTACTTGGCATGAAATTATCACAACTAGCATATTAAAAATATAGTGTATCCAAACTATTACAAACAGAATACCCACCCGCATGCAAAAACAAAACTGAAACCTTTTCCTTTTCTTGTGACAACAGCACCTCCTAAAGGAAGAAATGCCTCTTGTTCTTGCATTGGAGAGTTCAGTTTGTAACCTAGGACTTGCTTGTCCTCAGTGCACAGAAAGTAGATCAATCTGATACCATACATATTTTTTAGAAATGATTTGGAAAATATTTGAACACCTTGTCTTAAAGTATTTTATTCATCATGTTAAAATAAAACCTTCCATAATCAATTTTTGTTCTTTTCTTTTCTCAATTTTTCCAATTTTTCGGAAAAAAACAAAAAAGGCTTCAGGAAAAAAATGGGGAAAACCCACGTTTTTTCCCTGAATTTTTCCGGGTTTTTTTCCGGCCCTTCACATCTCTACATCTGCCCCTCCCTCTCCCCGCCAACACCTGTGGAACTGGAAATTGACTTCCCCGTACAGAACCTGCATCTGATCAAAAGTCCATACGGTGTTGTGCTGGTCTGTGACCGTATTAGTAAAGATTTTGACTAAGTCCTTAGGGTGGACCTGGGGAGGATACGGGGATAACGTAACATATAGTTTGGCCTTGAGCTGCAAGCGAGGAGCAGTCTTGAAAAACCCGTGACTCAGACTATGGGCCTGATGTAATGGAGATGTATGTTTTAAGCTGGTGAGATGAGTCCCTCTTGCCTTTCTTTATGTGTGTGTGTTTGTGAGTATGTGGTTGCTTGCCTAGAAGTCATGGTGATGTCAGCTACGCTGCAATATTGTTTATAGCTGCAGGTTCGCATGCATGACCTGTGTACCAGTTGATGCCACATTCCTTTCTCCCTGCTTCTGCCTTCGTTATCTCTGACCTTGTAGTCCTGCCGATGTAGTGTCTCCCCATTAATTAACCGTGAGACTAGTTTCATTTCCCAGCCTTGGCTCTAACTGTTCTAGGGTTTCCTTCCCGCCCACGGGAGTCAGGCCGATTGGCCCATGGGGGGGGGGGGGGGGGGGTGGAGGGTGGTGGTGGTTTGAATGGACTATATCTCTTGATGCTTGCCATGTATTAGTTATTCCTAACTGTGAACATGTTCCTGCTGCAACCATAGTTCTAACAATAAAGTATAACCTTCTTGGAAGCGTGTGCTCAGTTGTTTGACTGTGGGTCCTGACAGGTGACTTCTGGCGACCCCTAGTGGGGTGTGGATGTTTCAGAGAGGTGGCTTGTTAGCCTGCTTCTGCCTCCGGGCCCTGGTATTCCTTTGGAGGTCTCCCATCCAAGTACTTGGCAGGGTCAGCCACAATGCTCCCTCTAAGCTGTGGAGTCTTGGGAGCAAAAATTCTACTTTGTGAGCTAACTGGCATTAAAGTTGTGAGCGGGCGATCTGCCTGCTGCATAACTTAGTTTGCTCTGGAGCCGTCCCTTCCTGAGCGAAGGCAAAAAATGTGTGAGCTGGAGGCTGAAAAACTGTGAGCTAGCTCACACTAACTCAGCTTAGAGGGAACACTGGTCAGCCCTGCTTAGCTTCCGAGATCTGATGCGATCGGGCTGGCCTGGGCTGTCCAGGTGTGGGCCCTCTTGCCTTTCTGTCTGACGGTCTCTTCCAAATCTGATTAAAGCAAAACCCTCAATTGAATTAACTTTCAGTTTAATTAAATGGCCTGTGGAACGCGGTGGTGAGGCAGGGCGAGTGCTGTTTCCGTCTCTTCCTGACCTTGCCTCTTCTCTGCTTCCCTGCAGATCCCGAGAATCCTCCCAGCACAGGTAGGTGACTTTGCCTTCATTCTCCTTGGATTCTTCCCCATCCTCCCCTTTTGCAAACCTTTGACCCTGAGAGCCCCTTTGGTGTGGTGGTTGAGTGTGCGGATTCTAATCTCGGAGAACCGGGTTTGATTCCCCACTCCTCCACATGCAGCGGCTGGTGTGACCTTGGGTCAGTCACAAGTTCTCTCAGAGCTGTTCTCTCGAAGAGCAGTCCCTGAAAGAGCTCTCTCAGCCCCGTCTGCCCCTCACAGGGTGTCTGCTGTGGGGAGGGGAAAGGAAAGAAGATTGTAAGCAGCTCTGAGACTCCCGAGTGAAGGGCGGGGTATAAATCCAATCCCTCCCCTCCCCCTCCTTTTTCTTCGTCTTCCTGCCCTTGTTAAAAGCCACCCATCAGCAGTGCTCCCTCTAAGCTGTGGAATCTTGTGAGCAAAAATTCTACTCTGTGAGCTACTGGCATTAAAGTTGTGAGCCAGCGATTTGGCTCCTGCATCAATTAGTTTGCTCCGGAGCCATCCTTCCTGAGCTAAGACAAGAATGTGTGAGCTGGAGGCTAAAAAACTGTGAGCTAGCCCACACTAACTCGGCTTGGAGGGAACACTGGTGACGAGTACAGCTCAGCCAAGGGGTTAGTCTGTCAGCTACGCTCTCCGGACAAAACTGGCGGCAGAACGTTGGTCCCTTTGCAGTGCAGAGGAGCGGCAGAACGTTGGTCCCTTTGCAGTGCAGAAAGAAGCTCTGCGTTTCTGGGAGCTCAGGCCCACCTTCCACCAAGATCTGCCCAAAGGGATCACAGCGTAATGGAAGCAACTGCAGACGGAGAGGAAAGCCCTTGCCGACCATTAAATCCGGGGCTCGAGGTTGTCATGTGCTGATTGGTCCAGGTGGATACGGGTGCAGTAATCGGAGGAGGCTTTACATCTCAGAAGGGGTGATGTCCTCAAGGCCGGTAACCAGGATTTTGCGCCTTGTGGGGCACATTTTTTTCCGGTGGGGCCGAAGTCCTCAGTGCAGAAAGAAAAGCCATTTAGGCCAATAGAAAGCTGTGACCAGGACAGATCTCTGAATTGCAAGGTGTCAACCACTTTAGATGACAGTTCTCAGCTGCTGCAAGTTAATCACTTCTGCCGGCCTAAGCAACCATTCAGAGAACGAGCCGGCAGGTGGGGGTGATGACTTCTAGAATCAAGAAAGCTAACAGGCAGAAGAACCCTCTTAAAGGAGACCAGTTTCTTGACATAGCGTTAGAAGGGATCCTAGAGGTCACCTACTCCAACCCCCTTGCTCAGTGCAGGAATTAGTCAACTACAGCACCCCGCTCTGCTTAAAGGAGCATACACCTTTTAAAAATGTTTAAAAGTGATAAAAGCATTTACAGGAAAAATTCCCGTGGGGCTGTGCCTTTACGAAAGGGGGCAAAGCCCCCAAAAGCCCCACTGTAGCTATGGCCCTGGATTGACCTCACTTAGGCCCAGGCCTACAGCGGCTCTGTGAGCTGAGAGCATGTTGATGGCTTCCTCACAGAAAAGCACCATTCTGAGCTCAGAGGATGCTTCTGGGCATTAAGGCTAGGTTAAGAAGAGAAGCCACAGCGGTAGCGTCTAGAACCCAGCTGCTCTTTATGTACATTGAGACGGCATTTCAGGTCCAGAGCGGAAGCTGAGAAACAGGTAGTGCAGCTAGGAGCTTGGGGAGCTGCAACGAGGCATGTTATTGGGTGTCCTCCGTACCCTTCCCCACCCACCCTTTGTGCCCACACAAAGGAAGTGCTTTATTTCAAAACATACTCCTCCATTAACTGCACACCATCTCTCCCTGTTCAAGTAGTGCAAGACCCGGTATAAGCTACCGAAATTATTAAAAAGCTGCACCACAGTCTTTGCAGCATCAGAACAGCCCTGCTGGGTCAGACCAGTGGCCCACCCAGTCCCATGTCCTGTCTCACACACTGGCCAACCAGTTCCTCTTGGAGGGCCAACAACAGGGCACAGAGGCCGAGGCCTTCCCCTAATAAGAACATCAGAAGAGCCCTGCTGGATCAGACCAGGGAGGGTCCCTCTAGTCCAGCATCCCATCTCACACAGGGGCCAGCCAGTTCCTCTGGGGAGCCAACAACAAAGCACAGAGGCCGAGGCCTTCCCCCTATGACAGTGGTGGCGAACCTATGCCACAGGTGCCAGAGATGGCACTCAGAGCCCTCTCTGTGGGCACGCGTGCCATCGCCCCAGCCAGGCCCAGACCATCATTAAAGTGTCGAATTCTCTGCCAAATAATTTTAAGTAAATGAAAGCATTTGGGATTGCTTTCCTTACTTTGTTTGGATCATCTTAAGTTAATGTATGAGTTGTTTTTTCTAAAGTAAAACCTCAGTATTCAGGTTAAATTCCCGTGTTGGCACTTTGCGATAAATAAGTGGGTTTTGGGTCGCAGCTTGGGCACAAGGTTTGGCAACTTGCAATGTGGAGGTTCCCCTCAGCCACCATGGCTGGTAGCCATTGATAGACCTATCCTCCATGAATCTGTCCAATCCCCTTGTAAAGCTGCCTATTCCTCTGGCCATCACTACATCCTCTGGCAACGAATTCCACGTTTTGATCACTCTCTGGGTAAAGTAGTATTTCCTTTTGTCCGTCCTGAACCTACTGCCCATCGTTTGCTAGGCGATGGGGTATGAAGAACAAGTGGCTCTTCACAAAATGTGCCAAGGTGACCACAGTATGCTTTAATGCCCTAGACAAAATGGATCGGTCCGATTGGACCATTCTGAGCTAAGCAGGTCACTGGTCCGCGTCAGCATGAGGCGGCCACTTGTGTCCTGGGAAGCAACCTGTTGCCCATCCCTCATGGCTCCCTGGCATCAGATCTTCATTGATTGTCACCTGGCTTTCTTGGTCCTTAGAACATAAGAACATAAGAAAAGCCAATGTTGAATCAGACTAATGGCCCATCCAGTCCAACGCTCTGTCACACAGTGGCCAAAAAAATACCAGTTGCCACCTGGACACTAGAAGCCCTCCTGCTGTTGCCCCCCCCCCAAGCACCAAGAATACAGAGCATCACCTTATCTAATTCCCTTTTGAAGCCACCCATACTTGTAGCCGCCACCACTTCCTGTGGCAGTGAATTCCATGTGTTAATCACTCTTTGGGTGAAGAAGTACTTCCTTTTATCCGTTCTAACCTGACCGCTCAGCAATTTCATGGAGTGTCCACGAGTTCTTGTACTGTGAGAAAGGGAGAAAAGTACCTATTTCCCTACCTGCTCTATCCCATGCATCTATATATCTAATAGCGAAAGGTGCCCCCTGCGTGCGGATACCTAAATCCGCGCATCGGGGGCACCTGGGGGGGAGAGAGATTTTCGTGCACACTTGGGGCAGTCCGTTCTAACCCAACTGCTCACCAATTTCATGGAGTGCCCACGAGTACTTGTATTGTGAGAAAGGGAGAAAAGTACCTCTTTCTCTACCTGCTCTATCCCATGCATAACCTTATAAACCTCAATCATGTCCCCCCTCAGCCGTCGTTTCTCCAAGCTAAAGAGCCCCAAGTGCTTTAACCTTTCCTCATAGGGAAAGTGTTCCAACCCTTTGATCATTCGAGTTGCCCTTTTCTGCACTTCCAGTAGAAAAGGGTTAGAGTAGTGCTCAGTTACAAGCAGAGTCTTTTCGGTGGAGGTAGGCGCCACGTCTCGGGAGGGTCAGAACTGTAGCATTCGGCCTGCCGGCCAAAGCTGTGTAGCGTCCTCTCTCCTGCTACAAGAAAGAAGCTGGCTGACTTAACGGTGCAGTCCTATGCAGAGTCACTCTGACGGGCTTAAACCGGAGTCGCTCCGCATCCGACCGCTTTGCAAGAGGCCACCAGGCTTGGTGCAGGAGAGTCCGTCCGAGCCTGGGGCATTTGGCCTTTCCTGGTCGTCTCCGCATCACGTGTCTCCTGTCTCGTTGCTGCCCATCCAGAGCCCAGGCCCAAGAAGTACAAGTGCGGGTTGCCCCAGGCCTGCCCGGATCAGACCTTCGCCTTCAGGATCACCAGTGGTGCGGCGAACGTCATTGGGCCCAAGATCTGTTTGGAGGACAAGATGTGAGTGCGTGGCGTGGGAGGAGGAGGCGACGCAACGCCTGCGAGATGCAGCCCGCTGCCCTTGGTTAAGTGCGCGGACTCTAATCTGGGAGAACCGGGTTCGATCCCCCACTCCCGGATGACCTTGCAGTAGATCCGAACAACAAGGGGAAAAGACTAGTGGCACAGGAGTCCCAAATATACAAATTCCACTAGTAGAGAACACCATCACAGATTGCCAAAACAACATAGTGAACAATTATAAAGTTGTTGGTGTCACAACAACATTAATGCATACTATAAA